AGAAACTATGAAAGAAAACATTTATTATTAAGAGAAAATTGAAGGATGAATAAAATTTATGAAGTAAACAAGGAAGTTGGTTGAAAGGATAAATACGAATGAATGAATTTGTGTATGTATGTATTTATGCATGAATATGAATGAATATAAGGTTTAGTTCTTTTTATCACAATCCAGTAAGTGAAAAGGTAATTGGTGTTGTTTGCATTGTTGTCCGCAGAAATGGTTATTTTCCGAGTAATCACATAGTTTAAAAGTAACAAGGTAGAAAAAGTATCAGAAATAAAATAGTTAAGAACACAAGTTTTCCTATTTTGGGTATATTTGAATAAATTAAAACAACTGATAAATTTCATGTGATTTTCATGTTTTCGATTTGGCGTATTCCTTTTTGTTGCGAAAAATGTAAAGTTTAATTCGTGTCCGTAACTTTGTATACTATTGTTACTCATAGAAACTTGGTATTTTATCGAACTTTTAACGACACTCAATGTAGGAAATGGACAGTAAAAGGTATATCAGAGAATATAAAAACGATCGATTATTCGCATATAACCAGTGTAGTTTATCATTTATCATTAGTTTAACATTGACTATCAATCAAAAATATGTTTCAATTCATTAAAAATGACATGTTATGTAGAAAGTAAAGAAACAGCAATACTTTAATGGAAGATTAACTGTAGTTTATGTGATAAAGTATTACAATGGATTCTAATTTTTAATCAAATATTTTCTTGTGTTTGATAATACAAAACCTGAAATCCTACTTTTAAATGTACCTAATATCAGCTGATCTGTGTTTCGTGCACAAAAGTTTTACTGCAAAATCATCATCAGGCTTTCTTGAATGATACAATGTAGCAAAATCTTTGAGCTAAGTTTCACTCGCCTCAATTGAAGTGGGCGATTTCTTACCGTCGACAAATTAAACTGTTTTTTTTTCAAACGAAACATGATAAAAAAGATGATGAACTAATTGAAACTAAGAGTCTATGTGAGGTGCATCTTTTAAGTAAAAGCCGAAAATCAGACGGCCGGTAATTCAAACTTCATCGTCGAAGAAGAAAAAATATTAGAAAAAAACACATCCAATTACATCTCTCTCGAAAACGTTGATTTACGACATTGAAGTTATACGAGTCGATGGAAATCTAAAGCTTGGAAACGGTCAGAATATAGATTTGTGGTGACCGCTTTCTTACTTCATATTAAGTTTATAAGTTGATTGCAATATAGCTGCTAGGGAAAGAAGTCAACAGTATCTTCAGTGACAGTCTAAACAAACAAGATGATGACTATTTTGTCTGCTTCGGTTTCCATACTTTTGATTAATTTAGTTTTTTTCATATTAAATATAAAAGATTGTTTATTAAAGTAGTTACACAGTTGTCTAACAATAAACTAGATTGATAAATCTTTTCTAATACAAAGCACCTGAACAACCTGTAGTTTGAATGATTAGTTTACTGAATGTTTTTACTCTGTTAGTTCAACTAAATCGGCTAGACTAAATAAATTTACTATGAGCCAACAGTCATGTTTAAAAATAAACTGATAATTATTTCTGTAGCTTAAACAAGTTACAAGGAAATAATTACATGTTAAATATACATGTTTGTTAAAACCAATCAATTTCTAATGTTCGCGCATGTAACATTTAATTAATTGTGATGAAACACAAAAAGAAGAATTCTTTCTGCATTTATAAACGATCCCGAAAATTAAGCGCCATTTCTAGGATACCGATGACATAGTTACGGGAGTACAGTTTGTTGTAGAACATTTTGTGGATTTGGGGAAGAACTTAAAAAAATATATCATATTTGAAATCATTAATCAATCATTGTTAGACCAACATTAGAAACCTGGAAGCCCTGGGCGGCCGTTTCGTCCTGGTGTGGGACTCATCAGCAGTGCGCATCCACGACTCCTGCTCCTCGCAGGATTCGAACCCAGGACCTTTGGCATTATGGCGAACGCCTTACCATCGGACGCTTTGGCTGGCATACAACGGTGTTAATGTCTAACTCTGATTGATCTAGAGATTTTGCGCGACCTCACCCATTTGTCTTTGGTAGTTACTGCCTACACCCGACAGGGTTGAACTCCATTGGTCACGTCTTCTCAATTAGAACTTCGAGAATTTCTCCACGAAGCTAGTCACTAGTGAGCACTGTTACGATATTTGTATATCATAAAAATATATCATAAGCAGATTATTTCAGCTAAGATAAATATATTCTTAATACTTACGAAAAAAAAGCTGAATTAATAAAGTTAACTTTCACATAAATGCAGTAGAATTAGTCAAATTTTAAACCATTTCTTTAAATTAATCAAGACAATGGCTGATACAGCAATGAGTTCCATTTTCGATTAATTCAATTTCAAACCTGTGCAATTGCAAATAAAATATACATTTTTTGCACATGGTAATAAATACAAAAAATGGGTATGATAAAAATTTCGCCAGACGTGAAGTTTGAGAGGGAAATTAAATTAAGGCATAAAACGTTGTTTGATTAAGGAAATCGATAATAACGAGGATCAAATTCTATAACATAAATGGAAAATTGAGCAAAATTCACAAACATATTTAGTTCGATCAAAACAGATAAACAACATTAATTCAGTATCTGACCAGGAATTCCAACGTTTTAAACCTACTTAACTCGATAGCGATAGGTAGAGGTCTTCTGACAAAAGAACACAGAAATCAATTAAAACTAGTTAGAAATAAGAAAAACTTGTTAGAAGAGTATCCAGACAAAGGCGCAGGTATGGTGCTGTTAGACTGAAAGATCTACGTCGACAAAACGACAAACTTTTCAGATAACATCAAATTCTCCGAAAACAATCGGTGAGAAAAATAGAGTTGAAATGGTAAGTCCAAAAAACTTATTAAGAGACCGTCAAACGATCTTGTGACTAACAAAGACAAAACCAACAGGATCACTAACACCAAAACCGTATGACCTGCCCGAAATACACAAACCTAGCCTACATCTTAGACCTATTCCTGATATGTCCAGATCGTCCTACTACTCTTTAGCGAAATGGCTGACAGATCATCTGGAGCGGTAAGGAAATGTTTTTGACACTTTTGAATCTGTTGATCACATAAATGAAGTAAATGAAAAACTTATCCTTTCACTTGATGTCGAATTACTATTCACTAATATCTCACTCAAAGAGACCATCAGTGTTTTAATAATGAGATGAATATCTGACTGCCAGAGTCTTATTTAAAGGGACTATTTTCACAATGTACTTTGGACGAGAAGTTTAAGTTCAATGACGTGATTTATAGAGAAAAAATGGCATAGCAATGGGATCCCTTTTTGGTCAGTTATTAGCAGATTATTCCACGGCCAGTCTAGAAAACAATCGACATAGAAATGCTATCGACGACTTCCACCTGCATAAAAGTATATGTATGACATCTTTATCGTTTGTGATTACAGGCACTATTTAAATCACCTGCAAACATTCAGTGACTGCTACCCATGAATAAATTTCACGCTAAAAGGTGAAAACGAACAAAGTAATCATATTCTTAATGTTGAAATGACAAGAAAACACGATGAAAGTCTTACAAGATCAATCTGCAGGAAACCTATTTGTAATGGCTAACTATCAAAATTTCACAGCTGGATCTCCTTTAGCCGAAAGCGAACCTTGTTAGGACCCTCTCTACATGAATGCGAAGAGTTTCTGGTTCCTTAGCGAACTGAGTCTCCTAAAGAAAATGGTTATTAATCGTTGTTTGCTGGCAAGAACGTAAAACAATAAAATGATCAAACCACTAATATATTCTGTGGAAAAGAAAACTCTCTATATGAGCATTGATTCCAAAAGCGATACAGCTGTATGCATTCTGAAAAAGTGAATTTGTACCAAACTGCATAAGACACTTTTCGCAGCAACTTTGTATTTTATTCAAAAATATTAAAGAACAGTAACAGGTTCTGGAGGAAAAACAGGCATAACTTTTTCAACAAATCTATGCAGTAAGTAAAATTTTTACCAGAGTAATTTAAATTTGGTGTGTAAGTTTAGCTTTCAAAAAATTAAAATGTAAAGTGACTTTGCGACCATCAAACACATGCTCTTTAAGAATCCTATCAAAATGAAAAGAATAAGTAGTATAGAGTTAGCCAGAAGAATGAGAAATATTTGTATGTAGCTTACAGTGTTCGGAAAGATTTCAATCTTTGTCAACGTCTCATCCTAATACTTGGTGCAATTTTCACATTATTTTTAAGTGAGTTTTAATGAAAATTTGGCAGTGTAACAGATAATTACCTTTCAAATCTTGCTGTCTAGTTGCCGAATTCAAACAAAGCCAACCGGATAAATTCGAAGTTTGACCACAAGCAAGTTTGAGAAGCGTCATGTTTTTCAGAGGTTTTCAATCTTGATTAGGTGAGGGTAAGAGCTTCAAAAGATCCTCTTTATCCCACCAACAACTCGATGGCTCATCGACACTGCGGATATAAAAAAAGCTTCTCAAATGATTTAATAATTGTCGCACAATATGTATCTTACTGTGAATCAGTTGTCAAAGACAAGAATGGCTTTCAATTTTCATCCTTAAACGGTTTACAACTCAATTTTGTTCGATTATTTGGTTGACAAATCAAAGATTTCCGTTCACCAACTTTCAATTATTATTCTTACTATGTTTCTTTCTAAAATCATAATAAAACAATATATTAACTTATTAATTATGAGTATATATATTTATTGGTTGTTTGATAACCACTTAAGTTTCGAACTTTTAAATCTATATTCTTTTCATGATTTTACCGAAACATGTAAGATTTGATAAAGAAAACACACTTAAAATTCGTAATCCTGCATCAAATGATTTAAGTATTGTATACATGTTTATCTGTAACAAAAACTTGACGAGAAATGAAAGGTTATAACTGGTATCATAATTGGAGATAAACAATTTTAGGGATACTTACAATAAATGCACTTGTACTTCCAAGATGAATGAACATTTTTGCCCGAATATTCCATTAGCTTTTCAGATCGTAAGTGATTAACGAATGTATAAACGAGCTGTCATAGGCTGTAAAAAGTTGCTCATGTCTGTAAAGTCGTATAAATTATAAAATTAAAAACACGAAGTTCAGCTGCAAATTTTCTACTCAACGTCTTTATTATCAAGCTATACAATCATATAAGTTGGAAATTTCTTAACAATACAATATGAACAATACATATGAACAGTGAACAAATGTAGTAGTGTAGCGGAGATATTATAACATTAGATTACATTGTTTAAATAATAACAATAATAAACTGTGTGCTTGTAGAAATAAAAAGACTCGCAAAATTAGTTGGCAACTGATGACAATGTAAATGAGGTAAGATAACTGAAGTGTCTTTTGACACATCAATCATAACAGCACTTATAAACGAACAATATTGTTTCGGACTAGATTGTCATCAGGCTTTACTCTAATTCGTAGAAACATTCTTATGAAAATATTAAACCAATCAAAGCAATTAGTGGGTCAGTAATTACAAATAAAATAGACTACTCAACTCTGCATAATAGGTGTTCGCTAATATATTGTGCAGGAAGTCGCTAGCTAAGTCTCTGCTGAATTATAATTTGGAGAACAGAAGTTTATTTCGAATGATCAAAGTCTCCGGCTTGTTGTTCACTGTATACATGTATTTCTTTAAGAACCCACTGTTGTAGCCAATATCAGATAATAAGTTTTTAGTAAATTCCAGCTCTTTTTTAAAGGTATCTACTGGACGGGTCATTTTATTTCCGCTTGTGAGACATCTAAACAAATATCTTTTGTAGCACATAGGTGTAAAACTATAAAAGTATGTGTATCAGCAAGCAAAGGGACTCTTTCTATACATGCTTTTACTGAACAAGCTGTCACCTCGTTTACTTAGTGAGATGTCAAGGAAATTCAGTTTTTTTTCACACTCATCCTCGTCTGCGAAAACGATTTCTGGGTGTACACTTGAAGTTTTTTTTTACTGGTATTCTGATTCACGATAATAAATGTCGTTTATGTAGCCAAGGCATGTATTTAGTTCCCTAAAAGCCTAATTAAGAGGGTCTGTTTATTAACTTCGCCAGAAAGAAATCGGCTGGAATCGGGTCTAGAAGTGAGCCCATGGTTGTTCCATATGTTTGTCTATAACGAATGATGCTAAAAACAAAAAGGGCGTCTAGCATAAATCTTAACGGCAGTCCTTTCAGGTTATCCACAGGAAAACCAATGTTGATTTGGTTTTCTGATATTTGTTAACACAAACAAAATTTTCCGACTAGTAACATATTGTTAAATAAAGATTCTACATCTAGTGAGAGCATATTTTTCGTACCAACATTCATACTTTCCGCTTTGGAAATCAGGTCGAAAATGTTTCTGACGCTCATTCTTAAGGCTTATCTGTGCAAAGGCTCTAAAATTCGCAACGGCCACTTTGCAGTTCTGTTATAAGGAGAGTTACACGTGTCTGAAACTAGGCGAACACTGTAGGCCTGACTTATCAACCTTGGGTAGACCGTACAGTTTTGATGTAGTTGATTCAGTCGGCTTAGGCGAGAAATAAAGCTCTGAACAAACTGTTCCCTTTTACTTTGGATTTTTTAGAGAATCAACCCACTGTTTCTCTACCTTTTGATTGATGTTTTTATGATCAGCAATTTTTGAAATTTTCTAGTATCTCTAAGCATTGCCCACTTAGTCGACGTATTCCGTTTTGTTCATCGAAACTACACCTCCTTCCTTATCTGGCTTGCGTAAGATCAAGGTTTCGTCTTTTCCCAGTTCTGTTAAGTGTTTCGGTGCTTTTTGGTTATTAAAGGTTTTGTGGTACAGTTACTAATTTTGTACTGACTGAAGATAATGGAGTAGTTTTACTGAAATAAGCTAGATATAGGGAATAATTAAAGAGAGAAGGTAAGACGTTTTCGAATATGAAACAGAATAATAATAATAGTTCAGTGTTATCGTGAATACGAACATAAGATGCAGACACAGCTCTGATTTACTGTCATGCAGGGTGTGAGCTTCTGCTGTTTGAAGGAGTTGTACATGAAGAGATCTCGGTAGATTTAAATAAATTATACAACAAACTTTTTCATTTCTACACATACTGTCTTTGTTTGTTATTATTTACACAAATAAATCTAGTATTATAATATTTCTATGACATCGTCATATTTATTTACTGTTTGGATTTCTTCATGGAACTGTCAAAAAGTTTCCAATAGATATGACTATAGCTGGATAGCAAAATCACTAAAAAGAGATTCTTTCACTGAACTTCGTGTTTCTTATTTTTAAATGAGAACTCTGTAATTACGTAGTTCCCTTTTGACATTTTAAATATCGGATAATTTTATGGTAAAGTCTTTCATATCTTTCTATAAAGTTATATTTATTCAACAAACAAGTATTATTTGTGATTTATATTTTGGTATATATAGGTCGTTTCCAAACCATACATTTTTGAATGTGTACTGTACAAACCAATCAACGTCGAGGAAAGTACATTGAAGCTAATAGATGGTGTAGCTCAGTTTAACCTCAAGAAATCTAATGCTGAACAATGGAATCAATTAACATTAGATGACATGAGTAATTTTGTATACACTTTTCACATTGGTCTTACATTTTGTACTAATTAAGAGCTAAGATACCTAATATTTTTAGATTAAATAACTCTTCAGAGGACAGAAATCGTCTGTTACAAATAAAACAAAATGCTGTACTTGAGCATCAAGAACGCGAAATGAAGCGCACTAAAGCGAAAAAAGAAATGAATGTAAAAGGCGACAAATATGCGTTGGAACAGATTATGAAAGTAGCATTCTTTATTTATACTTGAATAAATTATTGTTGCTTACTAGTTAGAAAATATATCTCGTGAAAAAATTAAACTTGAGAAAGAGGAGGCTGGTAAACAGGCAATAATGGAGTTTGTAAATGCTTGTAATGAATCTAGCCAAGAAGATATTGAAGTGAGTATCAGAAAATAAATCTTATTGGTATAAAATACATTTTTGTATTACACTAATATAAATTGAACTCTCACTGAAATTATCAAATACTATTATTCAAACTAGGTGGGGTACTGTCTTACTTGCTTTAAACCATTAACACAATGATAACCATCGACCGACTAAAAGAACTGCAGAAATAATAAATATAAATCGAAGGAAAAGGCAAACATAGGGCATAAAAGTAAATGAGTAACCTTAAATAAATTCCCACTATTCAGAAAAGATGAACCATATACACTGATTTTGTGATAAATAGATTGTAGATAAAAAAGTTTGTCATTTATCTACGTATAACGATTTATCGTAATATTACCAAGTCAAACTTTGGCTACTCTAAGATTCTTTACTTTCTTATCCTACCTCTGATAATGGAATATTTTGAAGTGAACGGTGTATATTTTCTCTCGATCTACTACTCTACTACTCCTAATTCATCTTAGCCTTAAAAACTCATCATGAAGAGTTTCTAGAAGACAAACTTCCTCTATCCAAATGACTAGATCGCATTCTTGCCAGTTTAATGTTCTACTGTTGATGAACTATCAAATTTGTTGTATCTGAGAGCACCAACATGCTAAATCTCTGAGAGTCTATTTTTCAAATATATCCTTAGTAATCAAAAGTCTAATACAAGTAATTGAGACCTACATCCATGCGATTAACTGATGTCTGCTTCCATTCTATTAGCTGATTCGGCACCAAGGAAATCACTTCTTTATCGAACTTGACCGTCTTTGGTGGTCTGACTTTCAGGGTATTTACGAAAAAAATGGGTGATATTTTACGTTAATTCTCATCATCAGAGACATGCGCTAGCTTCAAGTGATTTATTCGCTACGCCCAAACTGCTTGAAAATCGGAAACTTTCTAGATCATGATTTCTCGTTTTGGAAAAATTTAATAAGTCTGGTTTTTAGGATAAACCATTGTAATTTATGACCCCGGGTAAAGGACTGTCTTCATGCACCGTGGTGCCTGTTGAATAAAAAGAAATATCAGATTTTATCAGTATCCTTCTCTTGTAGAGTTATTTTCTATCAAACAGTACGTTAATCATAGATGCTTCAAGATATAGAGGTCTGCCATAAGTTTTGTCATGTATTATGCAACAAGCACAATAGACCACAAGACCAAATTTTACACTATTTCATGACCAAATAAAAATGTAGTCGGATGATTCTGATATTTTCCATTCTCTCTTATTCAATAGCCTCAGACTAACTAGTGAAATATGCAAAGCCCAGCTGTTAAACATCTAAAATTTATGTTCATACACCAAATGACTAAATTAAACATTTTATTAGATTCAGATAACAGTAATCGTTTCAGTTATGGCTAATGAAAGTCCTTTAGTGAAAATGTATTGATTGCATCAATAAATTCAAAGAATACTTTAATAGAATATGCTTTTCTACCATGATGTTTCTGAAATAGCATACAACTGGATTGAATTTTGAAATATCTACAACCAACCAGTCAGAAAACTAGTAAATTAAGCTATTTTAAGTACCGTGTTTGTTCGTATCCTTGGGTATTTTAAAGTTTACCTGTTTTGTCATCGATTCGACTTATAGTATACTGTATAGAATAAACCGCTCCTTTAGATTAGCTCAAACAAACAAGTAATGTGAATTTTATTTTGTTTTGTACACAAAATTCAAAGTTGGAAAACAAAATTAAAGAAGCCCGAGCATTCGCTAAACAATGTACAATAAGAACAATAAGTGATCAAAACAAAAGTAAGTCGATAAATATTCTCATCCTTTTCAACACTATTATTTATATTAGCGAACTTAATTGGAAATGCCCCAAAACGTCCAGAATTTATTGAGAAACCAATAGATTTGCCGGTGAGGACTTCGTCTACGATCGAAGTTAAATTTACACCTCGAGTATTTCCTACACCTGAGAGAGAGTCTACAAAACAAGCTGAGGAGGAGGTAATTTTAATGAAAAATTACATTTTATTTCATGGAACAGATTTACTTCTATCTATTAAAAGATTTACCATTATTTAGACTATGGTGAAATCATATTAAGACACATAGCACACTAATATAAACTTTAATACCGGGACAGCAATGTCATTCATCCTGATCCTTCATTAAGTTTGGTCAGGGTGAGCAGAATAAAACTTGCAGCATAACATGAATTCCTTGTATTCTACGGTTTCTCATCACCTTCAAACGACCTAGAACTACCTTCAGAACATTATTATAGACACAGTTTTACATACCATGATAAGTTAAACTTATTTTGAAATAATAAAGATAAAACAAGCAGTCAGAAGGGAAAGCCATATATGTAACGTGAAAATTAAGATTTATATGACATTATATCTATATTCCCACTTCCTTTTGTCCAGTGGTTAAGTAAACAGGCTGAGTACCGAAGAAAATTATTGGATCGTGTTGTACCCGATGATTTATCCAGGAATGAATTAGATCCTATATGGTTACGTAAAAAAGGAGAGTAAGTTTTGTGTTTTTACCATATAAGATCCAATGGTTAATCATCTCCGATAAACAGTCTTTTTTTGTATTGGTTGAGATACTCTCAGTTTTGATCATTAAAATTTATCGAACGAATTACTGACTGATGGACTGAGCTGTTTTGGTAGATGTGAAATAAAGGTTGATGTCCACGTAGTTATTGTAACCAGTGGTTAAGAGATATTTGGTGACATGGCTCAGAACCAGTCAAAATGGCTTAAATGGATCAACCATATTTTTTCCAGTTTCATATCGAGTTTTTAAATTATCTTACACCATTTTTGTTTCTCAAACTCATTCTTCCTTCTTGAATCCCATTGTCTATAACTGGTGTTTTCTACTACCACTGGTACTATAATTGTTCCTATTACTCTGACATCGGTCTTCATAATTTCATCTTCATATGTTGATACAGTATGGCGGCATGAACCAGTTCACTTATGAACCAGATTTTAAGTTTATCATAACTAACTGACAGGTTAAAGTTTTTAATAATTTAAAGGTAATGTGTGGGTCGAATTCCTCATCATTTACATAATGACTAGATTATTGGGTTTTTAAGAAAAGATATTTGAATTTGTTAACTAATGAAGCTAAAATATCGTTGTGCATCCGTAAGTTAACTTCTCAAAATCCTCACTATATTACATACCTAAATGAAAATCAAATGGTAGCAATAAATCTACAGAAAAAGTTACTGTTTCTGCACATCGATGTATAAGTTGTTTTTGAACATACAGTTTCTACAAAAAGGTTGAAACAATATTGTGTCATAGTTTGTCAAAGTTTTGCCAATGAAAATTCATTGTATCTTGAAATATTACAGAGAAAGTGAAGATGTACAATCCCCGGTGAACTTTTCTAAAACAGTTGAATAACTTCATGTAGATACAACGCTGGCATTTTCGAATTATTTGTTTTCAAAAAATGCCAGTCAACCCCATGAAAAAGTTTGAATTTAAACGTTTTACTAATAAGCATGAACTTTGGTTATCATTGCAGTTCATAGTTGATTCACTGTTTATTATCAGTGTAAAAGTCCTATACACTCTTATCATAACAATAAATTTCAGTCATTATCTAATTCAGAAATATTTGTATATGATGTTTCGAATTGTTTTTGTTGACTGTCTTGTTTTCTAAAAGCTCATTATTTCAAGCTGGAGATTATGAAGCTGCTGTTATTGCATACACAGAAGCTATAAAGCAAAATCCAAAACTACATTCGTATCCTTTTTATGTTTACCAACTGAATAAATTAGAAGAAACTTATTTTTAATCAGTTTTCAGTTGAAATTTTATAAAATTTTAGCAAATAACCAGTTCATATCTCGAGATTACCATCTTTTCGAATTGATACTTTCAAAGAATTGTCAATTTATGGTAAATCATTTTATTCCAAACTAAATTAATCTGCTTAAATCTCATATCGGAAAGTTTCTCTCTGAATAATGAACGAGTAAACCAGTGATATTGGTGATGCTGCAGTAAATTTTATTGATGAAATTAATTGCAATAGATTAAGAATCGATAGTCAACAGAAACTGACAGAGTTTACTTTTGAAAGTGAGCTGAATCGTTGAATTTGTTTCAGCAAAATTAATGTATGCTATTACCTATAAAGCCATTAGAGATTATTTAATGTTATTAAGTGTTGATAGAACTTTAGAAATAAAATTGTAGTATGGTCATTAGTCTAAGTGGCTCAGTATCACATACAGTATTTTCTGCTGTTGGGCGGTTGGAGATGGTCATCAGAAAACCCTAGACAAAGGTTTCGAGCTAAATGGTACTAGTTTTTGAAATATATCTTTTTGTTGTTGAGCCTATCTATCAAATCGAGCCCAAACCACTCGGTGTTCTAACTATTATTCGTAATCATCTGTCTGAAATGTATTTCATCCAAGAACATTTTAAATAACTGTTGGTACCTTTACTTGACTTTACTGTTTCGAATTTTCTGAATGTAGTCGTATGAAGAATTTCGTCATACTGATTTATAAAACAACTTACATTTTAGTGTTTATAAGCCTACATAACAAAGAGAAAGTAAATAAAAATGTAACTTCATATCATATCCTTGTATTTTGGTGTGAATAACTTTTCCTTTGACCACATAAACATAATTATAATTTAATTATTGTAAATGAGAAGACAATAATCTATGGGAAAATTTTCTTGACTATGTATTGAAATTTTTATTTTAAACAAAATATGATATCTATTTCTATATTCCTGAATATAAATTTCGAAAATCTAATTAAAGAGCCTATTCAAATCGAGCCGCATGTCACTTACAATTACGAAATTATTTTAAAGCTCTAGAAGATAGTTCAATGGTATTAGATCTCTGTGTACCGCCTGTACCACAAAATTTGAAATCACGTGTACGTGCCCATATTAGACGTGGCGCGGCATTTTGTAATTTACAATTGTATAAAGAAGGTGAGTCGATTTGTAACTGAATTAAATGTTATGTAAAGAGAAAAATCCATGATTTTTTAAACTTACCATGTTATTTTATTCCTTACGTTTCGTATTATTCTATACTTTATATGAATCATTTTAGTTAAAATTTTTGAAGAAAGGTGTTTTTGAGTGAATTTATTCAGAGCAGCCATTAAAATACTTGATATAGTATTATTTCAGCCAAACAGTAGGAATTTTCGAAGTCGTGATGAATATGTGATGACAGCTTGACTGAAGCTACTATTAAAAAACACTTCGTTATTCAGACTTTCTATATTATTAATTAACATGCTACTGTTAAAAATACCTACGAAGGAATACAGTGTTACATAAAGTCAAAAAATGTTTGTTTAAACTTTATTTAGTTCATGGGTCGTCAGCTGCATATTTGAACAATTATACTTTTAGTATAAGTGATTTGTAGAGACTGTAGACTTTTCAAAGTTTAAAATCATCACGTAGTCTTAGCTAGATCACTATTGAAAACCTGGGGACACTGAATGGCTGTTTCGTTTAAGTATGAGACTCATAAGCAGTGTGCATCGACGGTCTCACACGTTGGAGTTGGACCCTGGACCTTCAGGGTCGAAAACCGCAAAAATAGGAATAAGACATAAGATATTTCATTAAACTTGGTGAAAATAAGTGCATTTTTATACGTCGTAATGATTTTCCTTTAGAGTAGAGAAAGTGAGATCATCGTTACTAATAATCATAATCAAAAAATGATCAACATGATCAACATGTGATCAACATGTTTTGTTAAGTCTTCAGCTTTTTGCCACTTGATGACTATTCTGAACATCCTCTTTAGAGGACAGAGTCAGTTATGATTTTAAGCTCTGAAACTAGTAACTTGTGTTAGTCTAAAGGACTTTGGTAATTAAGTCTTCAGTTTTGTGAAGTACAATTATCATTTCAAGTCAATAGTTATATTGACTGTAGTTCTGATCCTAAATTAAATTATATATGAGTATTTTCAAAGCTGAACATTCAACAGATCAAACATTATTTATTGTTGTAAATAGTCGTTTAATTTTATTGTTGTTTCATTATCTTATCTCTCTAGTCATCAATGTTTAAAACTTAGAATATAAAAGTTTTCTTGATGAATCTTCTAAGTCAGCTATGTGATATTTAAGGCACATACTTAATTGAAAATCACAATACTCATTTTCGTCGTATTAGTCAGTTTATTTGTAGATTTAATCTAGAGTATGGCAGACTTTAGATTAACCGAAGGAAAGTATTAAGTTACACTATGCAAATGTAGAAGATTAAATCATCGACTGTCTCTGAACTGGTATTTGTGGAATAATTTATTAGGATATCTTTGTACCATCATCGAAATGTCCTGTCTATTCACGTGGTCAAGATATACCCGTGTAGTTACTTATTTCCCATATTTTACAAAATCTTTTCAAAACTGTAAATATTCATCATATTGCAGTTTATTGTTTTTTGAAACGATGTTATATGTGGTTGTTTGAAAATGTACATTTCTATACTTCATCTAAGATACTGTAAGAAAATTACGTATCATAAATTTCTATGGTTATATATTTTGTTAGTGGATGCAAATATATAGTTAACATCTTTTGAAAATTGTCTATAATATTTTGATTTTGATTTTTCGTTACTTAGGTCTTATCGAATATAAAGCTGCACAAAAGCTTCAGCCGGAAGATGAAACAATCAGAGCGGACATTGAAAAGTTAGAGAAATTTGTAAATCAAGAACAGTTAATAAATTGTTAATCCATTTAAACTCATTTTTTACACTAAATTTATGTTACTGAATATATCTTAAGGAAGATCATTCAGAGTAGAGGCATTCAATTACGTCTTTTACAGCTAGTATGAATTATCAATAGGATGGATAATTTTGGCTAAACTTCTTCAAGTTTGCCGTTTCTCTCACTCTAGAGTTTATCACGCACAAAAATCCTTTTTATGTATGTATATGTATAAATATCTCAAGGATAAGATATACTTCAGCTGTACAGTCATCCACAAGCTAAATAAATCGTACTTTGTACCAAGCAGGCGTAAATTAATTTCACAAGATTATTAAAAATCTAAGTAAAAAGCTCTTCTTAATATTTACCGTTATGAGCTATCTAACAATTAGGTTAGACATATGCAGCTGTGTGATATGGATGGCTAAACCAATCTTTGTACAGCAAAACTCAGAGTGCTGTTGTCTGTATGAAGTAGTATTCAGTGTTAGTATCTCCAAGTGGTATCTAGGAGAAAATACGAAATTATCCATTTTTAGTTATTCGGTATGTGTATAAGAAACTCTACATTTATTGACTTGTTGTAGATGTTTAAATGCTTATAGGAGCTTTTTGAAAGGCTGAATAAGTCATTCTGTTTTCCAATGAAAACGGGAAAAGCTTTCAATCATTTCTTTAGTCCCTTTGAAGTACATGAGATTATTTGATAATATCAACAAGTATGTTAAAATATTTTCTTTAAATGTAGAAACATTACGAGTTGGGCTGACATTGTTTATTTCAGAGAGTTGTGTTTATAAAAGCCCATTCAAGGAATGAAATACATGAAAGTGACTTTCGTATACCGAATCTAAACTTAATTGGATTTCACATAACCTCAGTAGGTACAGTGACCATCATAAATAACATATAATACAGCACTAATTATTAATTTAAACTGTTTCAAGAACAATTTAAAAGACAATGATAAAGGTTCATCCAAGTTTATCAGTCAAAAATGCATTTTCAAAATGATTACAAATGGAACTTTAGGATGTTTTTTCTTTGAAGAATGCCTCTTTAATCACTACGAAATGAAAAATTCAATGCAAATCTAATGCAACCCAACTTATAACAAAAGTTAATATTCAATTTTTAAAGCAATCCACAAAAACCAAACTCAAATTTTTTACGGATATATTTCTAGCTTTGCTGACTAAAACACAAAATTGTAAATTATTTAACTGAGATACTTTTTATATATGAAAACATTTAAGATATATTCAAGGTTGAAGTGTAGGACAGAAACTGTTGAATAGAAGCAACTTGAAGTTTAAATCATATTTAATTATTCATAAAACTTTGAAATGTGTTCTAAAATGAAGAACAAAAGCCTTAAATGTTCTGATACTTTAATACCAGCACTTATTTGAATTTTCGTTCAAATGTATATTTATATCAGGTCAGCTATTTCTCCTTCCTATCATCAATAGATATTGTTTAGACATTACTACTGCTTATTTACTGTATTCGCAAGTATTTATAGGTAGGTAGAAATGGGCTTTGTGAAGTACTGTTCAAGTGTGTCATGAGACAAAAGGAAGAAGTCTTTCAGAAAACTGTATTCTAATTCAAGAGGAGACGATCAGTCAACTTATTTTAAATGGAACAAGAAAAAGAGTTAAAGTTTCAAATAATGTTATGAAATAATGACGAAATTCGATTGTGTAAAGCAAACAGTTTAGAAATCAGTTGCATATTTTATATCAAATTGTTCGACTTGGAAACAGATTGCATAAAGAAATGATCCTAGCCTGAGTGTAATGTACGGAAATGAAGGGAAAATTAATTTTATAGCATATTTAGTCGTTCGTCCAAATCGGAGTTAGATCGCAGGCCACTAAAGTGGTGCATCCTACTTCGAATTTGACACAGTCACTAAAGGTCTTACAGCAACACAGAATTAACGCATACTAAAAAACAATTAACACCGTTCAAACTGATTGTACAAAGGATGAGGTCGCTTCTATATCAATACAGAACAATGTCTATAAATTAGGGTATGTCGATCATGATGCCTTCAATAGTGGAGAGTCATCTTGTGGAATTTTGGCTTAAGCCAAAGAACATCGTAGGTAAAAAAAAATCTACCAAACAGATTCCAGAGTAGATCAGCAATAGTAACCATCAAGTCAATATTAAAAGTATCAGGATAATACAAAAAGGCTTTTCCAACTATAAAGGAAGGTGTGTGGCTGAAACTGTATAAACTGCTAAATCTTATTTCTTTAAATAGAAAAGAAGGCCTTGAACAATCTACTCAAGCTACAATGCTGGATTCTATTCACGTCTCACACTCATCTCTATCCTTTCACATTGGAAACCCTACATTTTTCACACTCACCAACACACAAAATGCACAAATGTCCAAATAAATCATCTTGACGGGAATAACAGAACATTGGCTTGATCAAATCTAATTTTAGATCGATTGTACTAAATATTTTTGCTTTGTTCCTTTGTACTATTTAAGCTTCGATCTATTTGATTCGTTGATTTACTCTCTGAAGACATAGTTTGCACAAAGTCACAAAACACCAGAAGTTTGATTTTTTTACTCACTGGGATGTTTCAGATGTATATGATTTTCATTATTAACAAGCCAATCCACTTTATTTGAAATTATCAAGTCACACTTTGATAACTATCATCATAATAGTTGAAGGAATGTAGACGCTGTATTTCGAAGTGGTGATATCAAAGACTAATGGTTTTCCGCAATACTAATTATGAAACAAATTCCGTTCGGTTAAAGGATTTCTAAAAGATTTCTCACCACTAACATTTTCAGGATCATATATCCAATAATATCTTTATTACTTATGAGTAGACAAAATGAGTACTGCAAAAGATTAAATAATTGTTTCGGGTCGTTTACTGTATAGAGTAATCTTAAGCAACGCTATCATGTGGTTCGGATTATCCACATAGTTTTCCCAATTCATCAATGAACACTATGAGAAATACAAAATATCAATTGTTTAAAAGGACAGATAGTTCAGGTTCATATTAATTCAGTATTTGTTTGTTCTCAGAGTTATGCACTGAAGACTTGAATAGTTGTTATACGAATGATTTACTAGTTTGTAACTCTATATAACTAATCCTAAGTCACTAGTTTTTTCAGTTAAAAAAATATTTTGTTAGGGAATAATTTAAAAAAGAATCCAGACACTAGTTTGTTCGAGTTATGTGATAAACTATTTGGAACAAAATCATCGAATTCTTTTTATGCCGACAGAGATGAATCGTACGTAGTTTTGCAGCATTATTGGAACATCTACAGCTTGGAAGATAATACAATTTAAGATCATTTGTAATAGCATGCGAGCGTTTTGAGTTGAAACAAAATCAAAGACCTGTGGTTATTTTCATGAGTAAATAGTATTGTTTAGATGAGATATTTCTGACTTATATACGTTTTTCATGTTCAAAAAGTATATAATATTGGCCGTAAGTAAGTATGTGACGGATTATTCAAAACAGACACTTAAAGGTATCTTGGCGAATAATTCATTCCAAGAATAATAGTAATGGCCTGATATAGTGATACAAAACGGAAACGACGACTGATTACATTTTCGTATAAATAATCTACAAAATTAGGTTGAGTATTTGATGAAACCAGATATAAAATTTTTATGCCTCAAGGAATAACATTATCTGGATAGAAACTGTACATCCAAGAACATCATATAAAACTTTTGCAGTAGTCTGGTACTTTTCAGGAGTTAGTTTGATCAATTACCGGCGTGAAAAAGTCCGGATTCTTTAAGTAAGGAAATAAAGACTATTTACAATTGACTGATAACTGTGTAGTGACCAATGCCAGCATTATCAGATCTTTCTTAGTGCTGATCGAATATGATCAACAAAGTTGCAATGTGGCCATTAGTTTAGGTGGCTTGAGATTACTTGCACTAGGTAGTCAACTATCTCCAAACATCAGCCAATGTATACTATTCCTTTAAGCCACCCAGTGGTATTATGGCAATTCACATTTCTAACTCTAGTCAACTAATGACCAGTGTACTATACAGGAAGACAGCTGTTCATTTCTACTAATTCCTTCTCGCCTCTTCCATAATCCAGCATCATTCATTATTAAGGTTTTCGTGTACAACAAACTTCACTCTGTTGCAGTTCAATAAGTGTAAATATCTCAGTAAATAAGTTTTAGCGGCTCACTACTGGACTTCAGTGTGAATGAATGATCGAGTATGTGATGAAATAAATCTTCATTTCCACTTCAGTATATTATGCTTAGGCTAACTCCGTTTGTGCGACAGCGGTAGTAGGAAGCCAAATACGGTATGGCGGATGAATTTATTTCGTGCAATCCTTTATGCAGACAGACATGAGAATAGAATGCGTACAAGCAAAACGAAGCGAATTGGAGAAGGTGAGTGAGCCAACTCTCCATGAGCTGAAGAATGGTTAAGTATTTATAGTCAAGCAATAATAGGCTAGACATGTAATAAGCAATAAAGCATCCACAGACAACCAAATATACAATAATCAGTACTGTAATCGAACTATTACAAATACAAAATTATGGTCGATACAACTGTCGAATAATTCAAACGAAAATACAATGAATGAATGATGAGAAGCTACAATGGATCCCTTCCAGCAAACAAGGATAAGCATCTTCGTTTGCGAAAAGAAATCGGTGAAAATCAAAATTTAAGAAATTAATATGTAAGATAGAACTGTCTTGTATGTATTTATCAGTACGTATAAGTTTGAGTTCATGTGTGAAATTTTGTATGCTGGAAAACGAAGCTGAATACGATGAACATAAGTTTTTCCTTAAGAGACTAGCTCTAATCTCTATGTTCTGTTTTTTGTAGTATCGTAAAATGTTCGAGAGTAATGGATTTAGCGTTTGGTCACATAGGTGTGAATAAATAATATGATTTCTAATGAATGTATCCACATTAAAGCAAGGCTCATCGATCAAGCACGCGGCTGTAGAAATATGATG